TTTTTCTTCTTAGGATTAATCATACACCATTAACCATATGAATGTAAATCTTGGATGCACAACATCTATAAGCAAAATCGAACTAGACCAAGAACCATACACTATTTATGAAATATGACCAAGAACTAGATACTATTTATGAAAATGAACCAATAACTAGGCACTATTTATGAAACCAGACTAAGAAAAAGACACTATTTATGAAACTGTGCCAATTACTATACACTATTTATGAAACTAGACCCTATAACTAGGCACTATTTATGAAACATGACCAAGAACTAGGCACTATATATGAAACTAGACCAAGAACTAAACACTATTTATGAAACCAGACCAACAAATAGTATAGTACCGTTCAATTTCATAAATAGTGTTTAGTTTCATAAACAATGTATGTGATGGACGTACGGATCTCGCGCATCAGGTCTTTTTTTTCTTTATACATTACAATTGTGTCATTTTCATTAACACTACTAACATTCTCAATGAAAACTGTGAATCCTACTCTTACCCTACACATTGCACACTCTCTGACGTCGTATAATTTTACTTCTACATTTTTTACTTTTTAACCAACTAAGTTATAAGTCTTTATTATTTTAGCCATATTTAAAAGGACAAATTTAGTAAAATTCAGGATATATGTATACTAATAGGATTTCTAGATGCTTATGTTGTCAAATTGTCAAATGGTACCATTATTGATTGTATATTTTTTTATTAGAGTTTGTCATTCTAATCCTTCTTAAAATAAGAAGACACTATTTATGAAACTGGACCCATAATTAGACAATATTTATGAAACCAAATCAAGAATGAGACACTATTTCTAAAACTAAACTAATAAGTGAAATCTATTTAGGAAACTAGACCAAGAAAGAAACATTATTTATGAAACTAGACCAATAAAGAGACACTATTTATGAAACTGGACAAAAAATTAGGCACTATTTATGAAACTGAACCAAGAACAAGGCCACTATTTATGAAAGTGGACCAAGAACTAGGCACTATTTATGAAATTAAATCAAGAACTAGGCCACTAGTTATGGAAGTGGAACAAGATCAATGCACTATTTATGAAATTGGACTAATAAGGGGACACTATTTATGAAACTGGACTAATAAGTAGAAATTGTTTATAAAACCCAATCAAGAATGAGACTCTATTCTAAAACTAAATCAATAAGTGGAAACTATTTGTAGTAGTTCAAGGTCCGACATTTCCAGTCTCTTTGTTTCGTCGCCGGATCACATTTCTCAACTGACAATAGTTTTAAGTTTATACTTTGCTAATTACAAAATAATGTAGTCCTAGACGTAGACAAGTTAACTAGACAGTGTAAACATTCATATTCAAATTCTTTTTTATGTAACAATATTATATTAAAATATCGCTCGAATGGGAAATATTGTTACAAGCAAATCCCACATTTGCGGAGTTTGAGAGAAAAAGATGATTCCACATCTCCACTTGTGCAGCAGAGTCAATGATGATGATATATGTAATCACCATCATTATTAAGCATTGGTGATTTGGATAATAAAGGCAAATGTAATGGGCAATGTGGTTTTGGAACTTATTGAGACACATTTGGCAGCATCCTTCATTTCACTTTAGTGTAGAAAGACTGACTAGTCACCAAAGGCCCGCATAGACTTCCCAGTCATTGAAGAACTCTCCTTTTTTGCATGTTTTTTCACAGAAGATAAAAGAAATTTAAAAAATATGGGGATCAATCATTTTCTTCGATCCAATCTCGAAACCCAGGTATCAAATCTTAAATCCCAAACACCCATTTGGTTTTTTTCGGATTACATCTTCCTGTATGTGTTTTCTGATAGACAAAGACGGAAGAACAAAAAATATTACAAGCAACTGCATCATATCGAATCAAAACTTTGTTTTAACTTATTCTGACTTCTTAATGTCATCCCAAAAACCAAAATTGCACTCTTCATCTGAGGATCGATAAGAGATTTGAACGAACATCCCGTCTCTTAGCTAGGGGCCAAAAAGAGAGCAGTTATTAGTAATTAACAAGAATTGAAGAATTGAAAATGATTTCCGGTCTCTTTGTTTCTTCGCTTGACCTTCTTGCCCATTTCTCTGAGATCGTCGTCGACTATCAGCAGTTGGTTCCCTCTCGTCAACTTTGCATCCTCTTCTCCCTCCGATGATTCTGTCGCCATCTCCTCTTCTTTTATGCTTGATTCTTTGAACAGGAACAAGAAGAAAATAAAACCTAATTTGATCGAGTTCCTAAAGGCCAAAAATCCCTAGCTGGATAATAGAAAGCAATCAAATCAAAACCCTAAATTAAAAAATCTGCAAAAGTGAAGTGATTGGCCAAAAAATTTGTTAAAAAATCAACTCAGTTCTTCGACATGACTAAACTAACGGAAAACAAAACTAACATAACCCAAAAGCATCAGGGGCAAAATAGAGAAATCAGTATGTTATTTTGGTTGGGCCATTTTAATTAGACTTGTTTAATATTAAGCTTTGTACTAACCATTAAATAAAGTTAGAATGTGGTTTTTCATTAAAACTCAAAGTTTCCAAGCTTTTTTCATTAGTTTTCCTTAAAAACATAGGGATCATTTTGATATTTAAACCATAAAAAAATGGTATTATTAACAACATTGCAAAATTGGCAAGATTGCAAAAATCCTAATGCATTGGTATTTTAGTTGGAGTGTATTTTTCCTCACCCCTTAATTTTTAATTTTGGTGTAGCATTTACCTCCCTCATTGACATCAGCGAAACTATTTTCGTCAAATAGAATTGAAACTATTTTCGTCAAATAGAATTGAATACTTGTTTCAAATTGAGGACACTTTTGTTTCATCGTTTCATAAAGAATACCATAATCGATCGCGCGTGAAGTTATTATTGGCGGTTGATAGATCCACAAGAATCAAAGGCCAATATCAGCCCACAAGCGCGAATGATCCTAGCACTACTTCCGTTTATCAGTCACATGGTATCACAATCACCATTTCGATTATATCAGAGTTGTATTACAAGTAAACAGCCATGGCAAAATAATCAAGAAAATGGACGAGGAGAAAACCAAAAATGGAACATACCATCAATTAAGATTATGGATTTACAAAGCCTTTTTGTTAGTGACTGCAGTAGAGGGCCCTGAATGAGTGCTTGCAGTTGTCTGGTCTTTACTCTCCTTAGTCTCGTCTCCATCGCTGCTTTCATCCATGGAGTCAGGTCTGACATTCTCGGTTGTTTTCCTGGACTGCTCAACAGTTGCTATGGCATCCTTAGCAGCATCGATATCAGCTGCCAAGATGACTTGTTGCTCCTCTTCCTCAACTGCAGCCCCTACTCTTTCAAGAAATTTATCATCCTCCTCTGGGAGAAAATGACCTACAGAGATCAATATGCAGTGATACGAGTTAGAGAAACACAGTGAGGATATGATAACGACACTCGAGACTCCACATTTAGCCTCCTCTCTTTCATAAACTCCGAAAATCCACCGACGGAAGCTTCACCGTCGTCATACCCTTTACCGTCTTTGATCGATTGCACCATCTGTAGCTCTTTCTGCCTACTAAAATTCATTCAAATCGCAGTTCAAAAATTACAGAAGTTCCAGAAAGTTGGGAAGCGAATTGAAATTGAAATTTTCAATAGTTCGATTTCGTTCATTGCTTTTGCTAGACTCAGAGTGTCATGCAAGTTCTTGAACTGATCACGGACGTTTGCGGTTTCCCAGAAGGAGCTCGACATTGCCTGGTTGGTACGGGATTGGATTCATGGCTATCGAAACTGGCCGAGAAGGAAACCTTACACTTTGACGAAGGAATTTAGGATTACTATAATTTTAAAATGACTGTAATTGAAATGATGAGATTTTATTTTTTAGAATTTATGAATTTTTTTGTTTGATTAACCAAAATAACAATGAAATTGAATACAAAATTTGTTATTTTTAAACTCTCAATTATAGAAATTGAAAATGATACATATTTACATGGAATTTAAACTTGGAAATTGGAGTTCCCAAATTTCAAGTTTTTTTTTTATGCGGAAATTCTAAATTTCTATATTTATGAATCAAAAGAAGGGAATTAGTGCATGTCAATTTATAAATTATAACTTTAATTCAAATTCCAAGTTTATTTCTCTTATCCAAACATAGTGTCAGAGATAGAAATTAAGAACTCGTTACAAAACCCTGTTAACTAGAGGCGAAGGTTTTGCCAGTTGGCGCTGTAGACTGTAGAGCAAAGAGATGATTTTCTAAACCGAAGTCGTTTTTTGGTCATATAATTTTCTAAGGGATCGTAGGCAAGTCAGGATGGCCGAGTGGTCTAAGGCGCCAGACTCAAGTTCTGGTCTTCGAAAGAGGGCGTGGGTTCAAATCCCACTTCTGACATTTGTTTCCACTTTTTTACTATTTTTCTAATGGGCGCCATAAATTGGGCCAACCTTTCTCAAAGGCGTCAACGTTGCCAGGAAATTATAGCATTCATGGTGTTGCTTTGTTTAAATGCTTATGCTGTAGGTTTTGATATGCCGATGCTCGTCTCGGAATGCAACAGCAGACTTGAGACATCCCTAGGGGTGTGCCAACTGCTCCTCAAGTTTCTGTAAGCTGATTCATGCCTACCACATCGCTTCCAACAAATAAAACTTCATGCCTAAAGTCCTACTCATGGTGCACTCGAAGATGGATTACACATTACGTTTCCTCCATGTCCAATCTCTTCTAATCCCTTCTAAATGAAAATTCATTCACCTCTGCCTTCAGCGTGCTACTTTGAATTTTATGAGTTATCCAATCGAAACGAAGCCTAAATTCTTAGGCTATTGTACTACGAAATGGATATGGTTTCCATTAATCCATATCAAGAAGCCTGAAATAAACTTCGTTTCTTTTCAAAGAAGATAAAAACAAGAGATTACTGAAATAAAAGCTAACTGAACTGGTTTAAATCTCAAGATATATACGAAATTCACGAAAAAGAATCGACAAATCAATAGGAAGAGATACTCTCCAAAATTTGTATTGAGATCCAACATGAAACTGAAGATGAATTGAAAATTAAAACGCGTGTTATGGAGGTTTAGTTTAAACATAGAAAACAAATAGATCAAATATCAGAAAAAGACTGCCCAAAATAATATCAAATAGCGATTGAAAAACCTGCTGAAAAAGAATGATCATCAGACCTAGATGCCCCAACTTATAAACAGAGAACTCCAATGCAGGGGCGGTATTTAGATGAGCCTCGACTAACATCAGCCATGGGTATTAACAGCTTCCCAGGCCAAGTTCTTCGGGACGGGAAGGGCCATGTCCCAAGCCTGCTGGGCAGCATTCCTTAGCAGCCTAATGGTGGCCACATTGGCATCCAAGAAGGACAAACTCTTGTAAGGCAAATTGTGCTTCTTGCATAGTTCCTTCACAGTGGGAGAAATCTTCCTCAGCTGGGAACGGGGTAATCGGGGGAACAAATGATGCTCAAGTTGAAACTGCAGGCCACCATAGAACCAGTCCATCCAACTCGAGCACGAAATATCCACAGTACCAGCTGTCTGCTTCTCGAACCAATCGTTCCCAGTTGGTGGTCCAAGATAAGTATCTCCTGTGAAATGGTTCAAAGTGAACTGAATGTGCTGAAGTGCTGTCACTGCAAAGCTCGCCAACACAAACATAAACCTCTCCCTCCAATTAGGCAGACACGAAACAAGGAGAGGAAACCAAGTCCAGAAAACAAGGATTCCCATTATGTTCAAAGCTCTATCTGGGATGCTTCTCTTGGAGAACAGTAGCAAGAACGTCTGAATAAACAAGTTAACCCTTCCAACAATCATGATCGGGTAATATGTAAAATGCTGGTGGCTGACTAAAAATCTAGCCACAGCATCAAATGTCAGCTCTCTTCCATAAAAGGTTGACGTTATTGAATGAAAGAATTTCGTGGACACAGCAAACACCGGCATGTGCTGAAGATCGGGATCATAGTCAAGGCTGTTGCAGGCAATGTGGTGGGCATTGTGAGTCCATTTCCACCAAGCAATGCTGATCCCAGTCAGGCAATTTCCGGCCAGAAATTGTGCCATTTTGTTGTACCTGCGGCTCGACATAACCTGGTAATGCCCAGAGTCATGCCCTATATAGGCACCCTGAACCCAGAGGACCCCCAACAAACAACCGCAACCAAAATGAACCAACACACTCTCAGACTTCAACACACCATACACAACAAGGTAAAGCATAACCAGAATACTAATCACAGAGTAAAGAGCCACATGCCCTTTGTTTTCGAACAAACCGAGCTGGTTAAACTCGGAAGCAAGCTTCCTGTAATCCTTGGAGACCTCCGAGATCTCGAAATCTTTCAGATGGTACCCAGTGAAGAACTTTCCCAGGTACTTCCATGCGGACGGAGGATGGTAGGCAATGAATCCATCAGTGACGTCCTGGCCGGACATATTGAAGAGAATGGCATCCCCACCCGGGTGATCTTTCGCCCAATCAGTGATATTGTAAACCTTGCCCTGGATAGAGATCCACAAATCCGAAGGCTTGTTGTGCAGCTTCAGCTGCTCGACAGTAATGTACTTCTTCTCACCCTCCATTGTTGTCCAATCCTAATGAAATCCGATCCAAAAACAATCAGATTTCCAAACAAAGGATCCGGATATGGATCGGACAACACAAACGAATCAAACCCAGATAACCCTTCCGGATCTGATTTCTGGGTTTTGATACAAACACAAAAGCAAAGCAAAATCCTGCAGTTTTAATCAAAATAAAAAACAGCAGAAATGCAGAGAAAAGAAGGAGAAAGATTGAAGATTTCTTCCAGATTCAATCACAAACTAACAGTTACAGCAAAATACTGCAAGTAATAAAGCAAAATGCAGAACAAAGTATACTTAATATAGACAAAAAAGGAGAAAGATTGAACCTTTCCTCAAGCGTTTAGTCAAACACACGCTCTTCCCAGCAAAATACCTCCCCACTTTCCGAGCAATTAGAATAAAATGCTGAATGGGTAGACACCCACTTTCCAAATTTTCTCCAACTGCCCCCAAAGTCTTCTGGGTTTCCAGAAGAAATTTCAAAACTGTCTCCAAGATATTTTCGAGCCTCTGCTGCGTTTTACAGCGCTAGTGTGCTTGTGTGAGAGAGAATATACCCGAAGAAAGGAGGGAGAGGGAGAGATAGAGACCCACTAATGGACAAAAGCCACAAAACAGGTTTAGTGAATCGGCACCCCTCGTCTCGTACACAACGCGCTGATGTGTGTGGAAAGTTGTATTTTCGCCAATGCCGGTATCATTGACCTGTGGCGGTGAAAAAACGAAGGAGGCAAGTTAAAGCGCGTTTTCTACCGTCGGGGGTGCCGGCCGCTCGGTGGGTGAATGAAGAAGTGTGTGCATCTCCTAGGAGAGAATATGTTAAATTGGGCAATGGCAGATAATATAACACCTGGCAATATTCCGCACCTCTCAACGATAATGTAAAACATAACCATATCGGAATGATTCAGTAATTGTGGATATATTTTAGGCTCATATAAATGTTGAGTAATACTATTCATAATATATTTTTATATTATATTTTTATACTATTTTAGGTAGCATCTGATGTGAACAGTTACATCATTTGAAAAATTTGCAAAACTCAAAGAAAGAAATAAGAAATACTTCTCGTATATCATAATCATCATTTAATTAACTAGTTTTTATTAATTATTAGTTTATTAAATGCTGAACTAAATTAAAAAATCTGATTAATCCAAATGATGTAGATATCAACATCAAATGCCACCTAAGATGGTATGAAAACGTGATATAAAAATATGTTATGAATAACATTACTCATAAATGTTTGTGTGTAATTTTTAATACTTTAAATCGTTTACTAGTAGTTAAGAAGAGATTGAAATGCATTGTTATGGTCTTTTAATAAATAACATATCATGGCGGAGTCACTAACAGACCATTTTTTTTTAAAGAAAAACGATAGTGTAAATCATGGAAAAAGCACAAAAGTTGTGCAAGAGTCCAATGGTGAAAAATGACATACATGGACGTGGATGGAAGATGTGTTAGGTTTGTTTGGATCTATTAGAGACGAAGCTTCGTAAGGCTAAATAATAGCCACACACTTTTCCTTCTTCTTTTTTCCTTTTTAATAGCCACATACTTTTCCTTTTCTTTTTTTTTTCCTTTTTTTGTCACACTTTTATTAAAGCTAAGTAGAAAGAAATATTGAATAGGATTAAACAATAGTGCATAGGAGAAAAATGGTTTTGGCGAATTGGTAAAGGACTTCTAAGTTTTATAATAGGGAACTTTAACGAAAAGCACCCGGTACTGTTCACTTTAACGAAAAACCATATTTTTACACTAAAAAGTCAATCCTTGTACTATTCACTTTACCCTTTATTTTGTCCTTATCATTAAAACTCAAAGTTTTCAAGCCCTTTTCATTAGTTTTCCTTTTATAATATTTAGGTCGAGGAGGAAGGACAATACAAAACATTAGAGAAGTGAGATTAAAAATGCATTTTATGATCATACAAATTTATGAAGGTGAGATTTGCAAATGACAAAGGACATGTAAAGTTCCTTCTTTTTCAATATAAGATTCATACTTTCAGCATACACATCCTCATATGTGGGTAATTTTGAAGTTAATATGTGAGACAACATATATAGGATAATGTGAAATATCTGTTGTCGTTGGGCTTCCTATAAGCCAACTTGTTATATCGTGAAAAAAGTTAAGGTTTCACATTGATTTGAAACACATATTTCTGAACAAATTGAATTTCAGCTATCGTCTCGATGGTGTGAAAAAATTCAATTGCCATTTGAGATTAAAAATTAAAAAAAAGGACTTGTGGGATTTATTTATATGTCATATCAGCATATAAAATATAATTTTACAAAATTATAATAGAATGACGATATTAATCAACGAGACTTATTTTCAGAAACTACATTAATCAATTCTTAATTTCACGAATCATCTCGATAGTAATTGTTAATTTATAGGATTATTTGTGATAAAAATTTACATTTATATTTAAATTTATTATTATATTTTAATGTATAAGTTTTGTGGTGGATAAGCGGGTGTTGATTATGCATACACGTGTCAAACACAAGAGGTAGAGGTAGTCATATTTTTTTATACAAATAACTGGTAGAGAAGAAAATATCTGAAGCATCAGTACTGGCTGATATGGCCCGTGGTCCTCGGATACGGATCCGGATCCCCTCCTGATCTTAAAAAATTGAGACCGCTGAGCAGGTAATCGTGATCATTGAAATTTAATCAAACGGCTATAATTATTATAATTTTAAAGAATCTTTTATTTATAACCATTGGATTAAATTTTAACGATTACAATCGCTTACTCAACCTGCTCAATTTTTAAAGATCAGGAGGGGATCCAGATCTTTCGGATACAATCATACAATCACATGACACCCTTAGCTGTGCTGTGTTTTGTGGGCCAATACCATTCAACAGAAAATCAAAAACCGAGTGCTCCATTAGTGGAACGCATCTACATGTTTTGTGGGCCAATACCATCCAACAGCAAATCAAAAACTGAGTGCTCCATTAGTGGACCGCGTCAATATGTAGAATTAAGTAACCAATCACTTTATTAATTTTTAAATATTATAATTATAAAAGTGTAGCAGGACAACAACGCATGCCCAATGTCTAATTACGTGATTAACTTGTCAACCTTAATTGCCATTTTTTGCTAGACCTGGCTTCCTTGGCCTTCCAGTTCTCATACACTTCCATGACCTCCTATTTATGCGGTCACAGTTAAGTCACATAAACATTTTATATCACTATTATTTTTTGTCTTATTATCTATATAAAAAAATCAATATAAAATGTTGACGTGGTTTAACCGTGACCGCACAAAATAGAAGAGGATGAGAGTGTATCAGAATTGGGAGGACAGAGAAGCCAGGTCCTTTTTTGCCATGGCCCCAACAAAAATACCATATATGTCAGGCCAATGACACCACAACCACCTTGAAAGTGGCAAAGCAACATATTCAGAGCAATTACATCCCTAAAAAAAAGTGTCAGCACCAGCCCATTTATCTACTCAGTGAATAGTAATATACCACAATGAACAGTAATAGGCCAAAGCATCTCCACTACTGAAAGAATTGGTGAAGTTGCCTACCGGTTGGAGTTGCCTCCGGAGTTATCTAAGGTTCATAATGTGTTCCACGTCTCTATGCTTCGACATTATATTTCTGATCCTTCTCATGTGATCCCTCCTCAACCGCTAGAGATTAATCCGGATTTGACATATGATGAGGAACCAGTCACTATCTTGGATTGGAAAGATAAGGTTCTAAGGAACAAGACGGTGAGTTTGGTGAAGGTGTTGTGGAGGAACCATTCTGTAGAAGAAGCTACCTAGGAGACAGAAGATCGAATGAGAGAGATGTACCCAAGATTATTCTATGGGTACTAAGCGGTTTATTTGGTTGTGGGAATTTCGGGGACGAAATTCTATAAGGAGGGGAGATTGTCACAGCCCGTTCCGGGATTTCATATTATTGGGGACATGAAATGTCGGATTTAACCTTAGCGGGTATTAAGGTATGTGTGTGTGACGTTATTTGGATTAATTTTCTAAGTTTTGGATTAAAATTTTGGTTTTATAAAATTGTGGTTAGGGAATTAGGTGATATGGATGGTGAGGATTAGATGTTGGACCACCTCACACCCCCCTTGTCCTCTCCCTCTTCCCGTATCACTCTCTCTCCTCCCTCACGATTCTCTCACTCTCTCGCACCCATACGTACGGACCTCGCCAAAACTCCCCAAAACTCAGTGGATCAAAGCAAATAAGGTAAGATTCTTCATCCTTGTGATGTTCTGAGTTGATTGGTGCTAGTTTTAGGACGTGGAACCTTCGTTATCACGTGAAACCCGAACCCCCCAATTTGTGTCACTGTTCATGCACACATGAAATGTTGTGTTTTAGGGAATTCTAAGCTTATAGTGAACTTAGTGAGGTCCCAAGGAAGCTCAGAGTACTTCGTTTGAAGGTTTTGGACATCGAAATCACTAGGTTCGATTTTGGCCGGTTTTGCTTAGAATTTTCCGATGAGATTTAGCTGTTTTTAGAGCCTTAAAGTAGTATATTGTGAAACTACATGCTTGGGGCTTCAAATTGATATAAAATACGAAGAAAATGGTTGAGAAACGAAGGAGAACAAGGCAATCGAAATTTCCTAGTTTTCCGGCCACTGGAAAGTTCAGTCCGGCGAGCCGAGGTTAGGGGTGATGCGCGTGGGGGCGCATGTCCCCGTGCCTGTCCTGGCGCGTGCGGCTTCCAAAAAATTTTCTAAAAATTTCTCGACGTCCGTGACGTCGAGTAGGTCGATGTGGTATATTCATATACCCAAATTGAGTATCGTATGAGAAGTTATTTCGAATTGTTGGTTATGTGTTTAAATTAACGTTTTTATAGTTGTTTCGCATATAGGTGACACCTATCCCGAGGACGAGCGCATCCAGGGACGTCACGGGGGTTACGACCCATCGACTTACCAGTGAATTGGCAGTTTTGTTTTCGTATTACCTATATACTACTGTTTTTCCCAGAAAATGCGTTTATATGAAAATATGATTTAAATTGCCATGCATGCAATTATTGAGATATTTGAATTGATAATTGACGCATATATATGTGAATTGACGCGATGGACGCACATGTGAGTTTTTATATTATTCAGATGAGTTATTTTATGTGAATTGCATTGAAAGCTCATAACCTGCACCCTAGGTGTTAGTACTTATATTATTATTCACCACACCGCACGCTCGTCTTGGATCCAAGTAGGTGGATGTCGTACAGACCATGTGAGAGTTCCGACATGCTAGTCGTATAGATCACTAGATGTGATTCCGACTAGTGGGTGACCTTAGTTATGCGCGCTGCTGATGATTGATGAGAGAAGCACTAGAGCGTATTTATACACCTTTCATCGTACAGACTACCATATGTAGTTCCGAGTGACGTGCAGAGTTGGGCCGTATAGGTCACTGTGGTGACTCCGGCTGAGTGGGATGTTGAGCTATAGAATCAGCCGTACATGACCATTGTAGGGTCTCCGGTTGATTTATTATTTCACCTGATTGATATTGATGCATTCTGATTATATTTTGGCATGGCATGACACATTCTTTCTGAGATGTTAATCTTGATAGATGGTGAGCTGAGTTTTGATGATATGTGTATATATATGTCTATATACTATTTTTTGGGAAAGTATACAGGTTTTACGGTGAGGGGTTAGAAATGTTTTAAATGAAATGTTTTGGAAAATCTTTGGTTTTACTGACCCACTCATCTTTGTTTTGTGCCCCTCCAGGTT